ATGGAAGCAATAGAAACTAATACACGAAGCTAAAAGACAGTTGTTGTTGAGGAAACTAGAAATGAGATTTAAACATACCTTTGAATTATGCCAATCTTGTCCGGATAATGCAAGCTATATATATCCCAAATCCAAATGCACCAATTGACTCTGACTTTCAGTGACAGACAGAACTAGAGAAATCAAATAGATGATCGGAAAAGTGAAGATTCAGTAGATGGATGATGGTGAGATTGTGAGATGAGTAAGAGAGATCAGATGTGGAGGGATTGCAGATAGAGAGAGAGAGAGAGAAAAATGCAAATTCAGATGTTAGAGAGAGAGAGAGAGACTCATCAGAAGGTAAAGTAAAATGATAATTATTGATTTGAACCAAAAAAAGACAAAAATTAAATAAACAAATAAAAAGAAGAGGAAGAGATTAATCTGCTTACCATTATCAATACAATTTCAAAATAGTATAGTCGCCAGTTTACTCATCACAATTTTGCGCAAGAGTGAAAGCATGGCAGATAGTAGAGAGTAGAGAGAGAATGAGGGGTATTTTGGAAAGACTAAAAGGGCAAAATGGGTATTACAGTAATAATTTAGGGGTGTTTATTGCACAGAGGGGTAATTTTGCACAATTTCAAAGATTAGGGGTGTTTATTGCATACTTTTTCAATTAAGGGGTAAAAATGCTACAAAAAGTATACTTCAGGGGTGTTTTTTGCACTTTTCCCATATATATATATATATATATATTACGTTTCTATCTCCAATTCCATGCGGAAGTGAGAATCGTTTTTCTTGTTTGTCCTTAATGAAACAGCAAGCGAGCCAATCTGTGTGTTGGAATATCATTTAGCTCTGGTGGGTAGTGTGTTTACAAAATGGTTAGCCATTTCAACATCATACATTTCTAATGCCATCAGGAGACTAAAAGAGCTGATGTTACCCTGAAGAATCCCAAAAAAAAAAAAAAAAAAGGGTAAAGAATGGATAAATAGTGCTATAGTAAAGCTACAGTAAGTATGGGTGCACACGGTTCCGGTTCTCACGGTTCCGGTCGGAACCGGAACCGTTCACGACGGTTCTTTAAAAACAGAACCGGAACCGGAACCGTATAATATGGAACATAACCGAGTTCGGTTCTATGAGAACTGTTAACTGTTTGGTTTGAAGAAATAAATACACAGTATCATTCCGGTTAGTGGATACAATGCAAATTATTTCCCAATTATTAGCAAAATAATGATGATGAAAGATACCTCCAAAGAGAAATTTAGGGTTTGGATCCTCCATTGCAATATCTGATGTTAATTCCCAATTATTAGCAAAATAATGATGAGGAAAGATACCTACAAAGAGAAATTTAGGGTTTGGATCCTTCATTGCAATATCTGATGTTACAGCCGTTAACCAGTCAGCAAAAGAGTATAAAGAATTCTTTAGAGAAATCGAATCGTAGGGAGAAGAACAGTATACGAGCAATCCAATGCTCGAACCAACACTAATCCCTAAGACCCATTTCTAGAAAGATCTGAAACTATTTGAAGTTTTCTAGAAATTGGGATCACAGTGAGAAAGAATGGAAGAAGAAGATGGTGGGGCAGAGAATGGGCGAGTGTGGAGCCGTTGGATTATGGGTTTAGGGTTCATCACTTCGTTTAGATGAGAGATTGAAAGGAGGCGACGACTAATTGACTGATAGAGAGAGAGAGAGAGAGAGAGAGAGAGATTTAGGGCAATTTTTTTTTTTTACGTGTCTAAATGTCTATTGTCTAAGGTCCAGCCTTATTTTTTAGTATAAAATTAAATATATAATACATATATATATATATATATATATATATATATATATATATATATATATATATATATATATAAACGGATCCGGTTCTTACCGGTTCCCGCGGGCTAGAATCGGAATCGGAACCGGAACCGGAACCGTATGTATACGATTCCTAAATTTGAAACTGGAACCGGAACCATGAGCACCGGAAAAAACGGTTCCGGTTCTTTTGTGCACCCCTAACAGTAAGGTTTATTTTAAATAAATAGTGCTACAGTAAATACGTCTTATGTAGTAGGGAAGTGTTTGGTTTTAGTTTTTATTATATTCAGTTTTAAATTTCTTTGATTTAGCTTATCTCAATTTTATAGAAATTGATATTTATTTTAGGTAAAAGTTCAAAATATCTCATAACGACCCATTTCGTAGCAAATACTCCCTTAATTACAAAAAGTTACAAATAGTCCAACGGGTCAACTTTTTCGACTTGTATGATTTGAAGTGACCGAAATAACCTTACTTATTAAAGTGTATATTAAAAAAAAAAAGCCTAATCATAAAATACCAATTTTACCCACTAACTTAAGTGCCCTAAATTCTCAATTTGGTGATTAGGTTACAGAGAGAGAGAGAGAGAGAGACGTAAAGAGAGTTAGAGAGAGATGGAGGCGCAGATCAAGAGTTAGGTTTCATTCTTCACATGGCAATATGTGTACTCCTTGTGTTGGCCAAGAAAGGTGTAGAACCTAGAATCCAATATTTTATCCCTTTATGTGATCTATCTTTATCCAATTGGCCCCCAAGTCACGCAGTTTTTCTTACTTTCCCTTTTTGCCTTCCGAATCTATACTAGTTCTAGCTTTACTGTTTAAATCAAGCTAACTTCACTTGCTATTCCACAGATTTTAGCAGCAAATTCGTACAATTCATGCTTTCAGGTTGTTATCAATATCATAACTTGGATTTTACTTTATTTTTTCTTTTCAAGTTTTTTTTTTTTTTGGTTCCTGAACTGGGTCATTTCTGGGTTCTTCAGAAATCGATCCATTTTGGAGGAAAAGAACCGACTTTGATTTTCTGGATTTGCCCAAATTTGGTTTTGGTTTTTCTTCATCAAGAAAGCAGTTTTTCCTGAACTGAACTGGGCAGGCTTTGAATTCTTGAGAGCTTGTTAAATTTCCAAAGAGAGAACAACTTTTGGTGTCTTGAAAATCTAGAGCTCTATCCACAAGTGGGTTTAGGTGTCTGGGTTTGTGAGCTCTTGTGTCTCTGCAACTAGGTGTCTGCCCTAACTACTAAATGCTACTACGCATATGAAGAAAAAAAATTAACACAAAAAAATAAATTTATATATATATATATATATAAGCTAAAAACTAAAATATATATATATATATATATATATATATATCTAATATATTTGTATTATACATGGACAACTAAGTTCACCTTTCATCTATACCAAAACCCCTTTCAGTTGCGCACTGAGAGAGAGAGAGAGAGAGAGAGAGAGAGAGTTTGTGTGTACAAAACTTGAGCTACAAATGGGTTATACAGGTCACAAGGCTATAATGGTTACAAAAAAAGGTAGTTTGGGTATTATCATAATTTTAACATTGCATGACTTTACACACGCCGAAAAAGTTGATCCGATGAATCTCAAGCGATGTTTGTAACTTTTTGTAATTCAGAGAGGTAGTTGCAACAAATTGGGTAGTTTAGTGAGTTTTTTTTGTATTTTTGCCTTTATTTTATTTTTATATCAAACAAATACAATTTTACACAAATTAGACAAAAGGGTCATTTTATATGGCCGATATTTATACTTATTAATTTATTCAACTAAAATGAGGGTATTATCGTCATTTTATATTTCACAGGGACCTATTTGCACCAAATTGATAATATAAGGTTTTTTTTTTTTTTTTTTTTTTTTTTTTTTTTTTTTTTTTTTTTATCATACAGATACCGATATATACTATATCGATAGTAGAAGGGGGGTTTGCACTTAACTTAAATTTATTTTGGTTCCTTATAAATCTTCAATCACATATGGCTCAATCAACTATATGCCCTTATGTTTTTAGGATAAACTTTTGATATTGTTCAGCGTTTATTATTTTTTCTTCTCTAAAATTGGACGCATGTGCTTAACCACATTCCTATTATTTTCTTTTCGATAAATTTGTTAATTAAATTTTCTAAAATGATAATTTTATTATTTCCTTCTATAAAATGTAATATAATATATTATTATAATATTAGAATATAAGATTGGAAAAATAGAGAAATAAGTGGTAACACAAGTGGACAATAATGGTAATTACTCACCACCCTATAGAATCCACCAAAGGAATACAGATTAAAGATAACAATAATAACTCCTTAAAAAGCCAAAGGCTCAAATATCATTCAAATTCATAAAAAAAACTGCCTTCTAACACATCAATAGAAGCTTAAGTAGGAAAAATGGAACTACCCTCCAACTATAAGTAAATTTCCAAAACGATCTACACAAAGACCAAACAAAGAAAATGAAAAGACACAAGACTTCTTTGATTCGCAACTTACTAGACTTAATTAAAGAATTAGGACTTCAAAGTCCATCAAAAGAAGACCCAAAAATCAGATTAATCAACTTGGAAACTATTTAAAAAGAGCTGCAACCAAGAAGGGAAATGAGTGGTCCAAAAACTGTCAATTTCCCGAATTCAGACTTCTTCGTCAGCAAAATCGCTTTACCGTTGAAATTGAGCACCATTTTTGCATTTGAGACTTCTAAATCTTTCTAACCATAGGCGCTCCTCACCCAATTCTTTCTGGAGTGTTCTCGGTTGGGCTAAACAACTCATTTTGCATTTTTTTGAAAAATATTTAGTTTAAGTAATCTCGAATTTATGGGTTTTGGAAAAGACGCTCCCACATAAGAGCATTACAAACCCTTTTATACTCGAAAGTCATTTTTCAGCCGTCGACGAATGGATTTAGAAAAAATCAAATAATAAACGTTAAACGGTCTATTCATATGTAATTTTTTCAAAAAATTCAATGTAATTTACCTATTTTTTAACACCATGCCAAAGATAAGGGGCTTGTATTAAAACCTTTTTATTGACTTATAAATTTCTTCTTACTATTAACCAGAGATAATATTTTTCCTTGTGATAATATACCATTGATTAACGATAGAAAGCAGGCATGCCCCATACACGTGTAAAATTGCAAATACAAAATTTAAACTTTTAGGCATAGATTAGAAAGCAAAGATCATATTTTGAACCGAGTATTTCAGCCGAAGCATTTACAACCATTTGATTTGGTTCCGGTTTTATGCATAATGTGGTTGTAAATTTGGTGCAAATAGTAGTATTTTTAAGAGTACTCTAATAGACAGTGACCAAACATATTAACAAAGCTTAAATTTCATAAATGCCACTAAAGCTTCAAGCTGAGGTGACCAATTGATTTTCAGTAGAGGCTGAGGGCTCTAAGACACCAAGTCGCCTTCCACATTCCACACTGTCATCCAATATCTTCTTCATATCATATTTGTATTCAAACCCTTCTTTCACAAGCTTTGTAAAATCACATCTGCTTCCTCTTTCCGGTCCACCCATGGACCTAATGTCAAACCCAAGTCATTATAATTACATAAAATCACTTTAATATTTATTTATGTGTGTGTATATATTATTATTATTATTATTATTATTTTTCTCACTGAAGCTTTGAAATTTCATTAGAAAAAATAGTAGTATTCATCTTCAAATCACTATACGATATTATGCTATTTGTAGTGGGGATTGTCGTAGTATTGAAGTCGGCCTCACAGTCACAAATGCAAGGGTTGATATTGTGCAGTCACAAAAATAGTAACAATTCGGCCAGACAAGAATTAATCATCACGAATATGAATAGTAAAATTGAAAAAGAAGATCTTACTCTTGTGATATCTTGAATTCGGGATAGTTTTGTTGGTAGTAATTTGTGATCTCTTGGATGGTTGGATCGGTTGCGACGCATATGAATCTGCCTCTAAGTGATGGTCTCTCCATACAAAAAATATGTGCTTCACAAACATCGTCAATGTGTAGTAGAGGAATTGAACCTGCAAATTCTTGCAATACTCTTAGGAATTGTTTAAAAAAGTGATTGCCTGTTAGCTGTGAGATGGTAGCGTTTATGCTAAATGGTATGTACGAAAGAAGTGTATCTCCTGCCACTAGACCACAAGCCAGGGTTACAATTTCCAATCTACTACCATTTTCAATCTCATTATAGCTCAAAACCTCTTTCTCTGCTTCTGTCTTTGATTTAGCATATCCCTGCATAGGACATACCACCAACAATAATTATATATATATATATATATATATATATATATATAACAAATAAATAAAACAAAAAACCATTCTGAACTATTTAATTTTCGCAATCAACCCAATTACGGCTCATATTTCGTTTGGCATGTGTTGTGTTTTAGGCGATATGTTTTTTTGTCAGTATCAATGTTGATTACCAGAGATAGAAAGATAGAGAGAGATAGAGATAGAGATATAATATGAAAGAATATATAGAATTGATTGTAATGATAATGATATAAAGCACGTATAAATAGGCTAACATCAAATGGCGAATAAATCACTATTACAACGGCTATAAAATGTAATTATGGTAGCAATCTAAACAATGGCTATAATATAATCTAATTATGTTAGCATCCTCCCTTAAACTCAAGGTGATAGAGCAAAAATCAACTTGAGTTTGGAGAGAAAAACTGGAGTGGAAGACGGGAGTCAGATTCGTAAGGATCCGACACATTGCACGTGAAGTGAATGAAGCGAATGAAGACCACTGATGGAACATGGTGATGCGGTACCAGAGTTGTGAAGATCTGAAGATAGGTGCTTAGAAGCACATGATAGACCACTTACGGCAAGTGTGGTAGTCTTGAGAGAGCTCTTGAAAACAAATACTAGCATGGAATCATAGAGTGGAATTACCACTTGAGAGACACACGGATGCGTATGACAGAGCGGGATTACCGCTTGATAGAGTGGTATAACCATTTGAGAGGCGCACAGGCTCATAAGGACCACTTTACGACAAGTGTGGTAGCCATGACCTCTTAAAAGCAAATAATAGAATGGAATCATAGAGTGGATTTACCACTTGAGAGACGCACGAACGCGTATGATAGAGTGGGATAACCGCTTGATAGAGTGGTATAACCACTTGAGAGGCACACAAGCGCATAAGGACCACTTTATTGCAAGTGTGGTAGCCATGAGCTCTTGAAAGCGAATAATAGAATGGAATCATAGAGTGGTTTTACCAATTGAGATGCACGAAGATGCATGATAGAGCGCTTGGAAGCGCATTAGAGAGCCAAATCAATGCCGAGAAACTAGGCGGGTTGTACATTGGAAACTGGAACTGATCGGAATACGCCCCTTCAAGTTCTAGTGGGATGTCAGGAGCACCTAGAATTTGAATATGAAACTGGGCTAAAGCTGAAATGAACTGGGCCAAAACTTGAACTGAATTGGGCCAAAAACTGATCTGGGCCAAAGCTGAACTAAATAGGGCCGAATACTGATCTGGGCCGGAGCTGAAACTGGCCGATTCTGAAAACTGGGTTTGGAACCGTCCAAATAAGGAAACAATTATATATATATATATTGGTTTTGTGGCAGACATGTGGGCATGCCAACGCTTTTGACTGATGGATAAAAGATCCACACATGCTCTCTCAGCTCCTTCCAATATTAAAGTAATGAAGCAAAAGAATGAGTAAAGAATACTTGCTCCAAAATTTTGTTTCAGATGTGTTCCCAGCTTGGTAGTGGGTTTGTGCTCCGAGGATGTTTAGCACAAAGGAGATCTGATCTGAACACAAGGGAAACGATGAGACAGGTAGAAAGTTGCATCTGTGGAGAAGAAGCAGAGACACGGCCGGCGAAGCTAATCGGAATAGACAATCGGAAAGTACACAAACCGGCGGTGACAGTGAGTGTTTGAAGAACCCAACTGAAGTCCTTGCTCGGCGAGCCAAGGAAGAGGCAGCGACTGAGATCCTTGCTTGGATTCGTTGGATTACTCAAGGATGAGGAGTCAGCATCTGTGGGCAGAACGGGCAGAACCTGGACGGGCTCAATCCCGTGAAAGCGGTGGCGAAGGCGGCAGCGTCTGTGGGCTTTGGGCAGCGGCAGAGGGTGGTGGTGAGAGCCACGTCAGAGGATTCTCGGCGGTGGCAATAGAGATGACGGGACGGCTCGCGGCATCGAGCGTGGAACGGCGGTAAGGTCGGCTGTGGATGGCGGCTGACCGGCTGGTTTATTAGTTGCAGAGAGAGAGGGGGTAAGCTTGAGAGTTGAGAGACAGCGGGCCAGCGGCTGAAGCTTACGAAAGGCGAACCCGAACTGGAACAGCGGGCGATGGAAACTAAAAGATACGGGTTTTGATTTTTTTTTTTTTTTGAACAATCTGAAATGATATGCTGATATGGGTTTTGATATACGTAATAGGTTTTGAACTTTTGATTCTTACAGACAGATAGATAAACTAAAATAAATGGGTTTTGAATTCTTGTAGATTTTGTAGTTTGCAGTTGCACATAGAGAGGGAGAGGGCAAGTTGTGGCTAAGCAGTAGCTTGGTTGAGGCCGCTGGATCACCACCGGAGACTAGGCTTATTCCTGACATCTCCGGCGCTGGCTCCGATACCATGTTGACAGAGATAGAGAGAGAGAGATTGAGATATAATATGAAAGAATATATTGAATTGATTGGAATGATAATGATATAGAAGAGGTTTAAATAGGCTAACATCAAACGGTTAATAAATCACTATTATAACAATTATATAATCTAATTATGTTAATAATTAAATAATCGTTTTGTTGTAAAATTATTTTGGGTATATATCGAAACTATATGTAGTAATGAAAATTTGTTTTGAGAAATTCAAAAATTTGCTTCAGTTCTTCGGTTACAATATCAAAACACACAATATGACTAATTTGGTGATATGAGTTTTAGTCAAAAAAAAAAAAAAAAAAAAAAAAAAAAAAAACTTTAATATGTTATGAACTATTCCATGTCAATATCAGCCGTTTTAAATATGATATGAGTTCAAATTTGTATATCAAAATCAGAAAAATAATATCATAACACAAGCTAAATGGGTCTTTACATTTACGTTTTGTTTATGGTATTTTTGTTTTTGTCATGTAACTAGCAGTAAACATTGGACAAAACATGTATGATCAAAAATGTTTTATTTTGTACAATGCTGAAACATTTAGCGAAAAATGACAAAAAATCTAAACACCAATTTGTTGTTTTTACACCTTTGAATAATGTAGCAACAGTTACAGTAAAAAAAAATTATAAAATAAAATTAAATTATATGAGCATGTTATGCCTTCTACACTCGGCCATCTGTTTTTCTGTCAAGGCTACCACTAAAGCCTGACGAATTGCAATGGAATGGAAGCTCCCAGGCTCCTTCATCCCGACTACCACCAGATTGATCACTCAGCATATGATCAAACAATCTCTGATTGTTCGACATTGATGAGATGACAATTGCAAAAGCTAAACGGAATTGAATACCAACTACCAGAGTGATTAGTCTTGTATGTCAATGGGCTGTCTTCGGCCTTGGGCTTAGCTTTCGCTTATTTTGTCTCCTCTCTTTGGACTTGGGCTTAGCTTAGTGCTTATATCGCATTGGCGTTGAAATTAACACTCACCTAGATTTATCAAAACGTTTATTTATGTTGTTGATAAAATCAGAACATATCTTTGAAACTGAACCATAAACGAAAATATTTTCTGAAAAATTATGTGTAGGCGTGCAAGTCAATCATTCGAGAATTTAATAACTACGACTCACACTTACCTTTCAAAAAAAATAAATAAATAAAGGTTTGATCACTATATTAATATGATAGTTGAGATTTTAATTAAATACTATAAGAATATTCATAATATATTATGCAATAAGTATATAATATAAAAAGTAAATTTACATGCGACATGATGTTAGTGAAAGGAGTGATGGAAGTTATGTACCGTCATAAAATCATTTCCGGAAGTGGATAAAAGGTTAAGAGGAGTCCAACAAGATTCGTTCATGGAAGATCCAAAACCAGACCCATCTTCTTTGAGTGGTGATGAAGCTGTTACAGAAGCAGTGTAGATGAGTCGCTTCACCGTCTGCAATTTGATGCAAGAATCAGCTATGCTTCTCACCCCAGAAACATCAACTGATTCAACACTATCCTTGTACTGCTTCAATAATTCATTTATCAGAAAAAGAAAGCGCGCCGGTAAATTAAATTAAATGTTAACATGAATTTAACCCAAGAGATATGACAAAATTAATAAGCCAAATACAAATTGATTAATTTACCTGAGATCTCTGGGTGACGTCTAGCATAGGGGTAGCCACATGGAAAACAAATTGGCAGCCTCTAATTGCCTTTTCAAACTCATCAGGTTTGTGTAAGTCAGCTTGGAATAACAACAATCTTGTGTCTGCATTGGGGAGGGACTTTAGAAGCCCTACCTTAGCTGTGTCCTCTGCAACAAAAATTGAAGACAATAATAAATAAAACATAATTATGTAAACATATGTGTGTGTATATGTTTACATATAGAGAGATAGAGACCTAAGTTCCTTAGTGTAGCATGGACAGTGTGGCCTTTTTCCAATAGCTTCTTAACAAGCCAAGAACCTATGTATCCGGAACCTCCTGTAACACAAACATTATAATGGATCTCCATTAATGAGGGTTTTTTTTTTCAAAATGTGTTCTGTTGGAGTGTTTGGTTTCAAATGATGGGTCTCTTTTAAATCCTTATCTTCTCTTCTGTGGTGGTTTTATCACTCAATCCAGAATAGCTAGCTCCTCCACGTACCACCACCACTTATTTTCCTCTTACCTTTTTACAAGGCATGTACGGTTTCGATTTCATTATCCTCGTTTTGTTTTGACATCCTTGGAAAATTCTTCTTTTTTTGTTTTGTAACTAATATATACTTCAAGTCTTCCTCTATGGTTTTGTTGAAGTTACCTTCACTAGGTGGTCCCTGCTTGGCTTTTCTGCACAATATTCTAGGAATACCCAAGCCCAATAGTTCTATGGTTTACAGATGTTTTTGACATGGAACAGTTATATTTGGGTGGAAGAGTTAGATAACCTAATATACTTAATTTTTCACAAATACAAGAGATAAAAAAGTGGAGGGTTTCATTTTTTTTTTTTTTTTCCTTATATTTGACATGCATTTATCAATTAAACTATTTGGTTAAGTAATTCTGCCCAACTCATTATCTTTAAAATCATTTTACTTTGACTAAACTCACAAAGGTCAATTACTGCACGTGCTTACCCCACAGTCCATGCAACAGCATTAAAGTTGTAAATTCGGGAGCATTCTACCAATCAACTGCGCTACGGATTTCTTTTGTTTTATAAGTGATACTTCAAGTCTTCGTATTTGGTTTGGTTGGAAGCTGAGTTAACTAGATGGTCCTTGCTTGGCTTTTCTGCACATGGCTAGGAAATAGAAATACCCAACGCTTCATCTTATCAGACCAAACACAAACCACCACCGGAGCTGCAGACCATTTTAAGTGTTTATTAGGTTTTGGGCCGTCATGTTATTAAAATTATCAAAGATAAAAGAGTACTACCAGTAGCATGGGTTGTAATTGTACTATAGACTATTTTTTTTTTTTTTCGGTAATTAAGTAATTCACATAAATAAAAAGAGTAATTACAAAAAAGGGAGGGCATTTTCGTCGGCCCAAACATTACTGGGCAAGCAAACAAAGAACAAAATGTCCACTATAGTGGCCCAAAGAACCCAACCAAGAAGTCCAAAACCTGACTAAACTCATGGTCCCCAAAAATACATCCTTCTGCACACAGGTATGTAACTACCTTCAATCACTTCCTCGAGTGAGATGAATCAACAAACCATAAAGTATCAACACTAGTTCAGTAATACACTAATATATTTCTTTTTGCTCGACCGATCTCAATAAATTTGCACCATGTATAGATACATCTTGCATTTAAGTTCTCAATGCGTTTCACTTGTGGGTTGGATCGATATCATTCAATTGACTAACAAAATGTTTGGTTCCTTCCTAATGAATCTATTAATCTATTTTTTTTTTTTTTTTTTCACACCATTGTCCCATTGTAGTCTCAACCCTGAAAATTCTATTTGGGTTCCTTATGAATCTTCAATCACATTTGACTTGATCAACTATCAGACCCTATTTTTTAACACCATGCCCAAGTTAAGGGACTTGCACTAAAACCTTTTTTATAAATTTATTTTGAATATTATTATTTATAAAGCAAATTTAATACACCAATGGTGTATTTTCTCTACTTTTCAAAAAGCAAAATGGGTGCATTGAGTTTCTTGCCAATTACCAAAGAGAGAAAAAAAAAAAGCTTAAAATTGATGGTGACGGTTCAAGTATTAGGTTAAAATTGTTTCTTTTATTACACATCCTCTGCACCCAGGTTGGGGCCGATACTATATAGGTTAAACAAATTAACAAAGCTTAAAATTTGTTAAATGCCACTAAAGCTTCAGCTGAGGTGACCAATTGATTTTCAGTGATTTTCAGTGGAGGCTGAGGTCTCTAAAACACCAAGTCGCCTTCCACATTCCACACTGTCATCTAATATCTTCTTCATATCATATTTGTATTCAAACCCCTCTTTCATAAGCTTTGTAGGATCACATCTGCTGCTTCCTCTTTCTGCTCCACCCATGAACCTAATGTCAAACCCATGTCATTATAATTCTATAGATTGACTTTAAAAAAATTTCACTTATTTTTTTCACTGCATCTTGAAATTTCATTAGAGAAAGGAAATATATATATCTTCAAATCACTATATAATGTTTTCTTGAATATTTTAGAATTATGTATAAGTCGGAAAATAAATGAAGCCAATCTTCAAAAAAAAAAAAAAAAAAAAAATTTAAAAATGAAAAAAAATTGTGTTATGCGTCGTCATGATTGTCGCGGCTACACAACACAGCCCTTGTTGAATCTTGTGAGTTTCAATTTAGGCCACATAGATTTAAGAGTTGATATTGTATGGTCGCGACTATTATAAAAGTTCGATTCAGACTTCAATCATAATAAAACTGAAAAAAAAAAAAAAAAAAAAAAAAATCTTACTCTTGTGATATCTTGAATTCGGGATAGGTTTCTTGGTAGTAATTTGCCATTTCTCGGATGGTCGGATCGGTTGCGGCGCATATGAATCTGCCTTTAAGTGATGGTCTCTCCATGCAGAATATATGTGCTTCACAAACATCATCAATGTGTATCAGAGGAACTGAACCTGAAAGTTCTTGCATACAACATAGTCCTTGGTAAATAGAGTGATTGCCGGTAAGCTGTGATATGGTCACGTCTAAGCTTAATGGCAGGTACGAAAGAAGTGTATCTCCTGCTACTAAACCACAAGTCAGGGATACAACTTCTAATCTACCATTTTCAATCTCATTATACCTCAATACCTCTTTCTCTGCTAATACCTTTGATTTTGTATAACCCTGCATAGGACATACCACCAATAATATATAAATATAATTTAACTTTTGACTCATAATTATATTATATGGGTGAACTATATAAAAACAAAACGAAACGAAAATCACGGTTAACATTTATTTTTTGGCAGTACATTAGCCCCTGTAAATTAATTTGTTTACAGGGTTAATATTGGATGGTATGTCCAACCAATAAAGATTGAATCAAATTAGTCTCACTTACACATAAAAACTACTCTATAAGTTGTGATTTCGTAACTTAATTTACCCCAATGAGTCCACAATGATAGTTTACTATTTATAGGTTCAATGGAAGAAGGTCAAATTGATAAATTATTAGTTTAAGATTAAAAAAAAAAAAACAAACAATGGAAAATGAAGAAATTAATGGCAATACTAATATTTTAGAGTTTTGATTGTGTGTTGTTATTGCCAATTATATATGAACTTGTGAAAAACAAGGAAATAGTTGATTTGTAGAGAATTTATATATTTGAAACCCAATAAAAATAAAATAAATAAAGAAGCTTTTCACGATTAAGTTAATGGGTAAAATAAGAATGTCAAATAATGTCAAATAAAAATGCACTTCTTTCACGCAAAAATATTATTTTCCTGTTTGAGAGAAAATAGGAAGTATGTAAAACAAAATTTTCAACGTTCTTTTTCCATCTATCCAAACTCTCAAAAAATTTAAAAATTTTCTTCTTCTTTTGTCTTCTAGTTGATTCCACCTAATCATCTCATTTTTCTTTCCTTTTTATTTTCTTCCTTTCTTTTCCCTCTCCTCAAAATTTCTACTTCTTGCACTCATGTATGATGTATGTGCAATAACATTTTTTTCTCTCATTTTTCTTTAAATTTATTTCTATAATTTTATGAATTTAATATCCCTATTTTATGTTTTGAAACTTATAATTATTGCATTTTTTTTTTTTTAAGAGGGGGAAAAAAAAAAAACAATGGAAATGAAGAAATTAATGGCAATACTAATATTTTAGAGTTTTGATTGTGTGTTGTTATTGCCAATTATATATGAACTTGTGAAAAACAAGGAAATAGTTGATTTGTAGAGAATTTACATATTTGAAACCCAACAAAAATAAAATAAAGAAAGAAGCTTTTCACGATTAAGTTAATGAGTAAAATAAGAATGTCAAATAATGTAAAATAAAAATGCACTTCTTTCACGCAAAAATATTATTTTCCTGTTTGTGCAGGAAAATTTTTGAGAGAAAATAGGAAGTATGTAAAACAAAATTGCCAACGTTCTTTTTCCACCTATCCAAACTCCCAAAAAATTTAAAATTTTTCTCTTTTTTTTATCTTCTAGTTGATTTTACCTAATCATCTCATTTTTCTTTCCTTTTTATTTTCTTCCTTTCTTTTCCCTCTCCTCAAAATTTCTACTTCTTGCACTCATGTATGATGTATGTGCAATAACATTTTTTTCTCTCATTTTTCTTTAAATTTATTTCTATAATTTTATGAATTTAATATCCCTATTTTATGTTTTGAAACTTATAATTATTGCATTTTTTTTTTTTAAGAGGGGGAAAAAAAAAAAACAATGGAAATGAAGAAATTAATGGCAATACTAATATTTTAGAGTTTTGATTGTGTGTTGTTATTGCCAATTATATATGAACTTGTGAAAAACAAGGAAATAGTTGATTTGTAGAGAATTTACATATTTGAAACCCAACAAAAATAAAATAAAGAAAGAAGCTTTTCACGATTAAGTTAATGGGTAAAATAAGAATGTCAAATAATGTAAAATAAAAATGCACTTCTTTCACGCAAAAATATTATTTTCCTGTTTGTGCAGGAAATTTTTTGAGAGAAAATAGGAAGTATGTAAAACAAAATTTTCAACGTTCTTTTTCCACCTATCCAAACTCCCAAAAAATTTAAAATTTTTCTCTTTCTTTTATATTCTAGTTGATTCCACCTAATCATCTCATTTTTCATTCCTTTTTATTTTCTTCCTTTCTTTTCCCTCTCCTCAAAATTTCTACTTCTTGCACTCATGTATGATGTATGTGCAATAACATTTTTTTCTCTCATTTTTCTTTAAATTTATTTCTATAATTTTATGAATTTAATATCCCTATTTTATGTTTTGAAACTTATAATTATTGCATTTTTTTTTTTTTGGCAAATAACGATATATTATTTTGAAATTACTATACCATTCCTGCATTCCTATCTTGCAATATTGTTAGTCGGTGTGTTAGTTTGAATATATATATATTAGTCGTGTTCATATGCGGTTGACTTAATTTTCTAGCTCCGTCCCTAATCCTAGTTGTGATACCACAAAATCACTGTAGAGCATATGAAAGTTCTCAAATACCCTCAATTTTATTTTATTTTATTTTATTTTTATTATTATGATTATCTTTGTGCGCCGCTCATGGATTGATTTGGAACATTAAAAAAAATTACAACAAAATCCTACAAAAACGATTCATGAATTAATGAGTGAGTGGTGAAGTATGTACCATAAACTCATTTACGCTAGTATATGAAAGGTTAAGAGGAGTCCAACAAGACTCGTTCATTGAAGATCCATAGCCACTCCCATCTTCTTTGAATGGTGATGACGCTGTCACAGATGCGGTGTAGATGAGTCGCTTCACCGTCTGCGATTTGATGCAATAATCAGCTATGCTTCTCACCCCTGAAACAGCAGCTTCAACACTACCCTTGTACTGCTTAATTCATGAAGCCAAATTAGCCAATTGATCGAATATTAGTCATAACCAAATCCATCCAAAATTTCTCACAAAATATATATAACTTCATTATGAGAAAATTAAGGCGGCAAACAAACAAAATGAATGACCTGAGAGCTGTGGATAGTGTGTAGCATAGGGGTAGCCACATGGAAAACAAATTGGCACCCTTTAATTGCATTTTCAAACTCATCGGATTTGTATAAATCAGCTTGGAATAACACCAATCTGGTGTCTGCGTTTGGGAGGGACTTTAAAAGGCCTACCTTTGTTGTGTCCTCTGCAACAAAAATTAATAATTTAAAGCCAATGAAACATAATTATATATATATATATCTAGAGAGAGAGAGACCTAAGTTTCTTAGTGTTGCATGGACAGTGTGGCCTTTTTCCAATAGCTTCTTAACAAGCCAAGAACCTATGTATCCGGAACCTCCCGTAACACAAACTTTACACTCTCTGTAGCTATTCTTCTCCATTGATATTGAGCTCTTTTTTCTCTTTCTTCAAAATGTAATTTTCTTTTTCTCTCGTGTGGTGGTTTTATCATGATCATTAATAGCTAGCTCCTCCACCACCTTTTTTCCACTTCCCATTTTTAGAAGGCGTTTTTATTGTCCTCTTTTGTTTTGATTTCTTTCTTAATTCTTCATTGTTTAATTTGTAAGTGATTTTAAATCCTATAATGTAGTTTCTTAATTGGTTTGGTGGAAGTCAAAGAAGTAAACCATACGCAGAAAAAGCCAATCATGTTTAATATGGTCCTACTATTGTTTGGTTGTCTTTTCTGTATATTGTTTGGTTGTCTTTACCAAACCAAAGAAGTTAACCATACGCAGAAAAAGCCAATCATGTTTAATATGGTCCTACTATTGTTTGGTTGTCTTTTCTGTATATTGTTTGGTTGTCTTTTCTGTACATGTTTAATATAGCTTCTATTGTTTGGTTCAAGTTGCATGTACCGTCGCAATCAATAAGGATAAGGCTCAAGGGTATTGATCAAATTGTAAGATTATTTATTTAATTATGATCCATATGTTTTGACCATGTGATATATTATTTGTTGGCTAAGTAAATAGATATTAATTAATTATTCTTAAACTTATAATTATCAAAAAAAAAATAATTATTTATTGGAAAAGTGTTTTCCTTCTAATTTCTTATTTTGATGAAAAGTAGTATTATATTACTAAAATGAAAACTGGTCCTCTATCTGTCTATATAAAAGTGCATATACTTCATCAATTATGTACGATTATTGATACAACACGTAATAGTTTTATGTGTGCAAAAGGTCAAGAGAGAGAAATCAGTTTCCGCCTTTGCCTGTTGATCAGAATTGCAGATTGGTTCGTGGTTAAAGAATTTGGACGTTAGATTTAATCTCAACAAGGTTTGATATCATGAATCCAGGTATGTATATCTAACTATATTTATTTATGTATTATAAGGATGTGAAATTAATTGAAGTTTTAAGATTTAGAAATTTATGATAATTTGTGATTAATGTTTAACACAAATTAATTAGGGTTTTACACAAATTTGATCAAATTTGAAACTTACCATGTTAAAAATAAACTGATTTTAGTACAACATTTCTGACATTGATTCACAATTTTTTTCTTTCTTTTTTCTATTTTCTTATCGGAGATTAATAACCTAGTAGAAAATTTTGGCACCTTATAGAATATGCTTTTGTTTTACAACCTATTCTATATGTTATATTTTATACAATATATTATACAGAATATATTATTATACAATTTAATTTTATCTTTTACTAAAATTAAAATAAAATTAAAACGCAAAATAATCTCACTTTAAAATAATTTAATAAAAATTAAAATATGTATACAGAACATGTTACTCAAACAAAATTACAAGGAAGAACAAATCATATAACGGGTTATTAAGGTTAGTATACCCCTACCTCAAAAATAAATCAAAATCACTCGATTCTCAAAAATTCTCCAAATCAAAAATTTTGAATCGTAATTGCGTAGGATTCGGTTGAATTAAACAAATTTAATTCTTGCACCACAAACCAAATCTTACCCTCCTAACTTTAAATTCTAAAGAGAATGATTGGAAAAAAAAAAGTGTCAAATGATTGGAAAAATAAAAGTGTCTAAGGTTCTGAATTTTTTTATTCTAGCATTTCGTGTTCTTTCCCTTTTTATTCTCTCTCTCTTAATTTTTTTTATTTTTATTTTTTTCTTTCCCCTTTTCCACCTCTCTCTTTATAGAGCAATGCTTGTATCCTGCCCTATTAGGACAAGTTTTGTCCCCCACTTTGATGTGGCCCTATGAAAACTTGACACCTGCCTCAATATTGTATAATATTAAAAAAGAAAAGCATTTGGATCAACCCCAAACGGGTTTTTTTTGCTAAAGCTTTGGTTCAAACTCGATGGCACCGACGGGATCTCGTCACCTACATCCCCGCAATCATTGGTTGTAGAGGGTGGTGAAGGTGGGGTGTTGCTGAGATCAGACAAGATGAACCAGACAAGGATGGAGGCGGTTGAGAGCTCAGCAGTGGAGAGGTCGGCGGTGAGCTTGCAGGTGAAGGGCTCGGGTTTGGATGATGGCAGCCGTGATGGTTCCGGTACCTCCTATAACACAAACATTGTAATGGCTCTCCATTAATAAGGACAGTTTGACCATTTTTACTTCAATAGTTTGGTTACACGCTCACAAACTCAACTTGATCACTTTTCTCTCTCTAGTTATATATATATCTCTCTTTTCTCTTTTTACTTCACTGGTTTTTCCTTTCGCATGCACTCTTCTATTTATAGGAGAGCTTTGTCATCTTTAGTCACCTTCATCGCCTAGAAGTAGACCACTATTTCCACTGCAGTCTATGTCTTCCATCCTTAGTTGGAAACACAGACTATGTTTGGTCAACTAAATATTGGGTGTTCTAGCTGTACCACGTCATTAGTGTACTAATCTAATGATTAGGGCCAGCCGCGGGCAAGGCGATCAAGAAGGTCATCTAGGGCCTCCAATTTGAAAGGGCCTTAAATTTAGGATAATGGTGTAAATATAGTATTACATGTCTAACAATATTCAAGCAATAATTTCAATAATTAAAAGACAATACATATTTTGAGCATATCCAGTACTATGTTAAAACAATTTTTTTATTTTTTTATTATTATTATTTTTTTTGTGTAAAATATACAATGTCATGTATGATGTGTAATTTTTTTTTTTATCTCCATATGTTAAGATACACTGTCACGTTACCAATGCATAAATTGTTGTGTATTTTACACAACCTTTTTACATAGTCATATCAACATATTTCCTTTCTCTTCCTTTTTTTCTCATTTCATTACTAATTAATCCTATATTAAGTAGGCTTGTAAAAATTATGTGAGGTCCTGACATGACATGTGGTTGATTGTTATTGGGGAATATATTTTTTACGGTATAAAACAATCGCTTGAGCTAAAAATAAATAATCTAATTTTTTTTTTTTTTTTTTTGTGTAAATTTATCATGACACATCAAATTTATACAAAAATATATATTTATTGTCAGAAATATATATATATTATGATAATAAACACACGTAATTATAATATTAATTTATATAAAGCAATCCTACACATCTTGAATTAAAATTCCACATTGTATGTTGAATTTGGCGATAACTAAAAAGACATGAATATCCTCTGTTTTAATACATATTACACTTTATTTCTTTATACATTTATGTTTCTTATTTTAACAAACTAAACAAATAGACAATTGAAGGAAAAGATAAGAACAAATAGACACTGGTTTCTTTCTCTATCTAGGTAAAAAACGAACAATTACAATGGTTTCTTTCTCTATCAAGGTAAGAACGAACAATTACCCTGGTTCTTTCTCTATTAATATTTTTCACACACACACACACACTCACACTCACACATATATACATATCTTTTTTGTTGGGTATCTCTTTAAAATTAAACCGTAATTAGAAAATATCAAATCAAAATATAATTATAAAAAAATTTAAGTGAATTATTTAATTAGAATTTTTATTTATGAGAAATAAATCACTTATTCATTGTAAAAAAAATTTAACTACTAGTTTTAGTTATTTAAAGATTTAACTAAATAAAAAGAGTCTCACAAACCAACGTATATATGCATAATTGAATTCAAATTATTGAATTGAATTAGGGTTTGGATTCTATAATAATAAGTTTTATTATTTTTTATCTCTTTCTTATATTAAAAAAAACTAACCACCTAATTTCATATAAAATTACAAATTTAATATATTTTATATATTTATCATCTTATTTTAATAAATATTTTATATTTTTTAATAAAAATTTCGTACACTTATAAATTTTTTACTCTTTGTAAAATATTATAAAGAGTTATATTTGAAAATTCTTACAGAGACTTTCAAAATTTTGGACATCTCTGCCGACACTCACATTTTTGCTGACACACCGTTTTTTCATTTTTGTGGGTCCCATCCTTTCGTTGTTTTCTTCTTTCCACATGGACCAAGCAGAAGCCCAATCACCCCACCACCATTCTTATATTCTGTCGTGTCCCATCAATGAATAGCTCCTCCACCACAAACTTCTTTTCCTCTTACTTCCAGTCTTCACTGGATCGTCCGTGCTGGACTTTTCTGCACATTGATAGGAATTCCCGATTTCAATAATTCTGTAGTTTATAGGTGTTGGGTCTTCACTGGATCGTCCTTGCGGCACTTTTCTGCACATTGATGGGAATTCCCGATTTCAATAATTCTGTTGTTTATTGGTGTTGAATTTTAATTCAAGCGTGTGCAGTGCCGTAAGTAATATATGTAAGTTACGAGGGGTCAACTTTTAAGGAATTGGATATGTAAGTTATATATTTTCTACGTTTTTTTTTTTAGTTGAATTCGTTACAGATTTATAAGTAATATTTAAAATATATTTATTATTAATGTTAAACTAGATCAACTAATTTAAATAAAATTTGAAAACTGTACCGTTTTAAGATAAAAGAAAAATTTACTAAAGTTTAAAAACTGCATCGTTTTGAATTAAGAAAAACTCACCATACTCTAACGATGTTTAACGTGGTTATTTCCCCTCATCATTTACAAAAAAAGATCGTCCCTCTCTCTTCTCTTTATTACCAAGTCGCGTTCTCTATTTCTCTTTTAAATAGTAATAAATTTTAGAATTTTTTTTCTTCGTTGGTACTCACACAACCCCAGTTCCAAGGGAAATCTAGATTTTTTTTTTTTATCATTTTATTTTGGAAGGTCTTCCGAAATTAAAGATCTTAAATTCTCATTTTCATTGAGATCAATGTCCTTAAAACATAACAAGGTGCAAACAATCCCTTGAAACCGGGTTGTGTGAGTACAAGTAGGAAAAAAAATCTAAAATATGTTACTATTTAAAAGAGAAACAGAGAACTTCGTAACTTGTTTAAGATATGAATAAAGAGGAGGGAGAGGGAGAATCTTTTTTTGGAAAAGATGAGGAAGAAATAATCTTTTTTTGGAAAAGATGAGGAAGAAATAACGATGTTAAACATCGCTAGAGTATGATGAATTTTTCTTAATTCAAAAC